TGGACGCATCTTTGAATGTGGCCTCGTAGGGGCCTCCTGGCACCCGAACCAGACCATTTCCGCTTGTCGTCTTCCCCTTGCCCCTTGCCTGCCTCCCTCCTCCTCGCATCGCTCTTTCGAGTCATTCGCGCATACTGCGTGCTTGCTTGCTGCCGCCTGCCGTCCTGACTGAAACGGCGGGGTGGCGCTCTCAGACAGTGACATGCCCCCTGGTGTGGTTGTTCCATCTTGGACCGTCGCTGTTCTGGTCGAGTAGCCGGGTCGGCCATCCCCCGGAGCCCCGACCGAAGCCGGCCGTTTTCGCCTCCATTGCGTTGCGGGATGGCGCCGAGGAGGCCGACCGCGAGGGACGCCGCGGGGACTGCCCCCTTGGTCTTTGGGGCCACAAAGCCAAAGCGCAAGAAGGAGGAGGCCCCAGTGCCCGAGGCGAAGAGGTCTGCCCCCCACCGCACGCAGGCCGATGCGGGCGGCGCGGGCGATCGGGCGATGACAGCGCCCGCCAGCGGGGAATCGTCCCAGGCCCCCACCTCAGACGAAGGAGGGCGAGCGGCGGTGATGGCGACGGCGCCCGCCAGTGGGGCGTCGCACCAGCAGCCCACGGCGGACCAGCAGAAGGCCGAGGACACGGTGATCGAGGCAGCGGAGGAGCTGCAGGCGGTCGAGCAGCCCCAGATCACGGAGCCAGAGGCGGTCGAGAAGCCCGAGGACACGGCGATGGCAGCGGAGGAGCCCGAGGCGGTCGAGAAGCCCCAGAACACGGAGCCAGAGGCGGTCGAGAAGCCCGAGGACACGGCGATGGCAGCGGAGGAGCCCGAGGCGGTCGAGAAGCCCGAGGACATGCCGGTGGCGAAGCCCGAGGACATGGCGATGGAGCCCGAGGCGGTCGAGAAGCCCGAGGACATCGTGCCGGTGGCGGAGGAGCCCAAGGCGGTCGAGACGCCCGAGGCGGTCAAGGAGGCCGAGGCGGTCGAGAAGCCCGAGGCGGTCGAGAAGCCCGAGGTGCCCGTTGCCGCCGTGGCGGCGGCTGTCGGAGCCGAGCCATTGGACCCTGCCAGTGCCGCCGATGCCATCGCGCAGGCCTGTGACAACCGCGCTCTGCGCGCTGGAGGTTTACTCGTCGCCCCGGGGCCGCAGGCGGTCGAGAAGCCCGATGACTCGGTGACCTCGGTCGACAAGCCCGATGACTCGGTGACCTTGGCGGTCGGGAAGAACGACGGTCGAGAAGACTCCGCGGGGGCGACTCCGACGGCGACCGCGTGGAGGCGACTCAGGCGGTCGACAAGCCCGCGGAGGCGACGCAGGCGGTCGAGAAGCCCAAGGCTTCGTTGACCGCGCCCGTGGAGGCGACGAAGATGGTCGACAAGCCCGCTGACGTGGCGGTGACCTCGCACACGCAGGACCAGGGGCCCGAGGTGGTCAACGAGCTCACCGCAAGGGGGCAGCCCGTGGCCCAGAAGGCGCCGAGCGTTGGTGGGCAATGGCCCATCCCCCATCCATCCATTGATCCCCCATCACCACGTCTTGGCAGCCCTTCTCCCTTCTCAGGGTTTCTTTCGGGTTGACGCTCCCTCCATTCCTCCCCCCCTTCCCCTCTTCCGCCCCTTCCTAGACCACCACCTCATCCGCCTCCCCCTCCTCGTCCCCCTCCTCTTCGCAGTCGTGCGCATTTGCATCCCGCGCCTCAGGCGCAGCTGGGCGCTGGGCCGTTCGTCTTGCCGACGGCGGCGGCCGCGCCGCTGGACTCGTCCGTGGATTCGCTGCTCGGCGACGGCTCTTTGGCCCTCGGCGGGGACATAGACATTGATGCTGGCTTCGAGGGGCTGGTCGGCGCGCCTGGTCCCGCTCCGGTGCCCTGGGCCCCCCCTCAAGGCGTCCCAGAGCGCCCTGCGAGGTCCAGGGAGGTTCTGGGAGCTCTCGGGAGGTCCCGGGAGGTCCGTTCAGGTCGCGGGAGGTCCTGAGAGATCTCGGGAGGTCCCGATTTAACGGGAATTATCGTCCAGGAATTAGCGGCAAAGGTTCCCCGGGTGGTCCCGGGTGGTGGGGCCCCGGGTGGTGGGGGCCTTCCCGCTAATTATTCCCTGTGTTTTTACAGGGTTTCATTCTCGGGAAATTAGAGGGAAAAGTTCCCGGGTGGTGGGCCCCGGGTGGTCCCCGGGTCGTCCGTTAATTCTGGGCGTTAATCCCCGAACCCTTGGACGGTAATTCCCAGCCATGAAAATCAGATGGGGCGACGGGCAGGGGGGCCCGGATTGCTCTCCTGCAGTTGCGCCTCGCCGAGAGCCTTCCACGGGCGTCAGAGTCGCCCCGGACGGCCGCTCGAGGCCCGAGGGGGATCCAGGCCCCGCCGACCCCGCCCCCCTCGAGCGCAAGGCTGACGATTGCTTCGAGGCGGACCCTGAGATGTTGCTAGATGCCGACGCGGACGCGAAGCCTCCGCCGCTCTTGGACGCCATCCGCGCGTGGCACAAGGCGCTTGGGATTTCGGATTGCGTCTCAGGGGGCCGTGCTACCAGGGCAGCGTCAGCACAGTCTTCGATTGGTGGTTTCAGGACCCTCCTCAGGTGCTCCATGACCCTTCAGGTCCCTCCAGGTGGCCTCAGAAGGCTTTCAGGCTGTCAATGGGCTCCAGGAAGGTTGAGGAGGCCCCAGGAGGCCTGAGGAGGCCCTCAGACGGCCCTCAGGAGGCCCGAGGAGGCCTCAAGAGGCCACACGAGGCTTCAGAAGGCCCTCAGGATACCCGAGAACGCCCGAAGACGCCCCAGGAGGCTTCAGGAGACCCCCAGGAGGCGCCAGGAGGCTTCAGACATCACCAGGAGGCCAATGAGGGCCCTCAGAATTCCACTGGTGCCCCGGGATGCCCCGGGAGAGGAGGAGGCGGAGGAGGAGGGAGAGGTGGCCCATCAAATTGCCCTTATCGGATTTTTGCCAGATTCTGTTCGCGCAAGGAAGGAGGAATGCGGAGGCGGAGGGAGGAGGAGGAGGAGGCGGAGGAGGTAGAGTCGCGACCCAACAACTAAGGACTACAGTGTGCTACAGGGCCCAGCGCGCCCATTCGCCATTCCACAACTTGAGGGCCCACGATTTGCACAACAACTTAAGGGCCCGAGAATTTTACACGTATTGGGCCCGCGCCCATGGGCCTGACTTGTGGCCGGGGGTCCACGGCGCCAGAACTTTGTGGTTGAACGGAGTGTCGGGGTACGTTGTGCACTTCTTGGGCCCTTCTTGCGATCCCGCGACGCCATCCTTTGTCTCGCAGGCGTTCTCCCCCAGAGAGACGCGGACCATGCAGGAGCAGCTCCACTTCCTCGCGAGCGGCGGCCCGATCACCGTGGGGACCGCGTGCTCGGGGACCGAGATCATCATGGTCGTGCTGGAGCAGTTGGTGAAGTACTGGTCGGAGGACGCCAGGGTCGGTTTCCCAAATTCCCCCTTCTCCCATGCCGCAGTAGCAGAATCCAAAGTGGTCATTGCCGGCGTCCAAAACGCCCCTCCAAGACGGCTTCCCAGGCCCCCCCCCCCGCGACGATGACGATGACGATGGGGCGCGTTCTGACCGACAGAATTTCAAATCGGATCCAGCCGCGGCCGCGAGGGCGCCCCCAGAAGCCACGAAAGGGCATGAAACAACACAACATAATCTCGATCCTCGATCCTCGCTCCTCGACCCTCGACTCTCGATCCTCGATCCTCGATCCTCGACCCTCGACACTCGATCCTCGATCCTCGATCCTCGCCCCTCGATCCTCGACTTCGTCCTCCTCGTCGTCGTCGTCGTCGTCGTCGTCGTCGTCGTCGTCGCCGTCTGTGCCGTCGGCGCCGCCGCCGCTGCCGCCGCCGTCGCCGAGGTTGGCGCCGAGGTTCGAAACTCGAACCTCGAAGATCGAGGCTTCCTGGCCCTCGGGGGCCCTGCTCGCCGCCGCGGCTGGAAGCGAATCGAAAAACTGGTGCGTCTGGGCCCCTGGAGGAGGCCGGGGACCCCTCTTGATCGTCGTAAGTCGTAAGCGTCGTCGTCGTCGCCTCGCCTGAGCCGCGGCGGTGGCGAGATGGGGGTGCGTGCCTCGCCGAAGTCTCGCAGAGACGGGCGTAACCAAGGTATGGTTAGTCTGGTCTGGTCTGTTGCGAAGATTTGGCATGGCATGAGTCTGGTCTGGTCTGGTTGGTCTGGTCTGGCTGGTCCAGTTGGTCTGGCTTGTCTGGTTCGCTGGTCTGGTCCGTTTACGCCAGCCAGCCCTTCCGGGGTCCAGGGTCCATTGGCCGGGGTCCTCGCGGGGCCGTCTCGCGGCCCATCTTGGCGGCAATCGGCCCGACGACGACCGCGACCTCCTTCCTCAGCCCACCGAGCTGGCGGCGGCGCCGGCCGCGCGGGCGTCGCCCGCCTGCGGCGCGGGGGGAATGGCAAAGGGGCGGGACAGGAGGAAAGGGTACCCCCTCCCATCCGGAACACTAGACGCTTCGCGTATCCCTTCCCCCTGCCCCCTCCTTCCCCCTCCGCCCCTTCCCACCCCTTCCTCCGCCCCCCCTCCCGCGCCCGCCCATTTCGGCACGCGCCTTACACGTTTCGTGCCCTCTCCATTTCGGCACACGCCTCACGCGTTTCGTGCCCTCCCCATTTCGGCACACGCCTCGCACGTTTCGTGCCCTCTCCATTTCGGCACGCCCCTCGCGCGTTTCGTGCCCTCCCCATTTCGGCACGCGCCTCACACGTTTCGTGCCCTCTCCATTTCAGCGCACCCCTCACGCGTTTCGTGCCCTCTAGATTTCGGCACACCTCTCGCACGTTTTTCGCGCCCTTTCCGTAGCCATCGGACTCAAGACTCAAGGTCGTCGTCGTCGTCGTCGTCGCCGCGGATGGCGTCGGCGCCGTCGCCGTTGCCGTCGCCGTTACCGTCCTCAGTGTCCTCAGTGACGGATATGCGGACGACGCCGCCGCTGGACCCGACGTCCCCGCCGGACCCGACGTCCCCGGTGGAGATACCCGTCCCCGCCAGCCCCTCCAGGCCGATGTCGCCGATGTCCGACGCCATCTCGAGCGCGACGGAGCAGCCGGTCCCGAGCTCCTTGCCCGAGATTGCGAGCCCGTCATGTGGCCCGCCGAGCCCTGCTGGCAGCGCGGCGCCGGCTGGCGGCGCGGTCGCGGCGCCGGCTGGCGGCGCGGTCGAGGACAACTCGTCGGACGACTGGGGCTGCTGGACGGCTGGCGGGCTCTGTGGCGGCGCGGCGCGCGACGAGGACAACTCGTCGGACGACTGGGGCTGCTGGACGGCTGGCGGGCTCCGCGGCGGAGCTGGCGGCGGACGACGACGACGACGACGACGACGACGACGACGACGACGACGACGACGACGACGACGACAGAGGCGATGCTGGAGGCGGCGGCGGCGCTAGCGGACGCGGACGCGGACGCGGCGATGCTGGCGGACGCGGACGCGGCGATGCTGGCGGACGCGGAGGCGGCGGCGGCGCCGATGCTGGAGGCGGAGGCGGCGCTAGCGGACGCGGACGCGGCGATGCTGGCGGAGCTAGCGGCGGCGGCAGAGACAGGGTGGACGAAAGGTGGTTCCAGGACCCGTCCTTTGTGAGCGACCTGCTCGCCTCGATGCCGGGCGTGGACATGCGCGACGCCCGCGTCCAGGCCGCTGTCCAGGCCGCGGGGGAGCTGCAGCGGGAGGCGGACCGGCTAGCGCGGCTCGACGCGGATGAGCTGGAGCTGGAGGCGGCGCTGATGACCGCCGCGGCCGTGTACCTCGCGGTGGATCTGGAGCTGGAGGAGGAGGAGAGGCGGAGGGCGGAGGAGCAGCCGACGCCGGGGGGCGCCTGGCAGGCAGCGGTGGACGGGGCCGCCTACGGGCGATGGATGGCGAGGAACGGGAGGGTCGAGGAAGCCGAGGCGTGTGCCTTCGGGCCGGCGCGCCTAGCCTATGACCAAGAAATGCGCATGATGGAGCACGAGCGCAACTTGGCGTGGCTGGACTCCCTACGAGGGGAGCGCTGAGGTTATGAAAATGGTGCGCGGTGGTGATGATGATGATGGAGCGCGTTCTGGCCAACATGACGATGACGATGAGCGGCGACGCCGACGATGACGATGACGATGGGGCGCGTTCTGACCAACAGAATTTCAAATCGGATCCAGCCGCCCCCGCGAGGGCGCCCCCAGAAGCCACGAAACAACACAACAAAATCTCGATCCTCGATCCTCGCTCCTCGACCCTCGACTCTCGATCCTCGATCCTCGATCCTCGACCCTCGACACTCGATCCTCGATCCTCGATCCTCGACCCTCGATCCTCGACTTCGTCCTCGTCGTCGTCGTCGTCGTCGTAATCTCAATGTTTACCAGCCAATCGGGGCCGAACCCACCGCGCCTCTGGAGAGTGTCGAGGGCTGCGGTCCGCGGCAGCCCCTGGACGGGCGCGCGTTGAGTTCCTTGTTGGGCGCGGGCAGAAGCGAGATGAACCGACGTATGGCAGCGCGTCCGCAGGGCTTGAGGCTGGTGATTCCGTCGAAGGTAATAGCGCGCGCGAGCTCGGCGGCTTTCATTGCCGGCGTTGCCAGACAGGGAATTGCAGGTCCGCGCCCGCCACTCCGGGCCAGGTCCCGTTCCGAACAAACACTGCTTCCCATTTAAGCATTTAGTGCGGTGTGCCTTTGGAAGCCTTGCGATGGCTCGGCGCTGATCGGGGATTCCTTGCAGCGCGAGGCGGTGCGAGCATCGCGCGGGCGCGTTGGCGGGTGATCCCGTTATCTGCTTGGCGCGACTTGTATTTTTGTGATTCTCGTTTTGCGCGTGCAATGTGCCCGGCGTGGCCTCTGTGCCTCGCGTGCCTGGCGCCCCGCTGGCTTGCCTGGCGCGCGCGCGCGGCGCGCTCGCTTGCCGCGGGTAGCCTTTGATGTCTTTTTGGTTTTGTTCCCTGCCCTCCCGCATTTTAGGTCCGCGCTTTGAATTCGCGGCGCTTCGCGCCACATCCTTTCTTTTCTACTATCTCCCCTTCTCCTCGTCCTCCTCTTCCTGGTCTTCTTCCTCCCCGCTTCGTTTCCTCATCGTCCATCCCCTTCCATCTTGCGCGGTGGGCTTTCGGTTTGTAGCCGCGCCGAGGAAATTTCAGCGCGCCCTTCGTGCCGCGCGCTGTTCGTTGTCCCGATACGGCTTTTCATTAAAAGTCCCTGTGGCGCAAATCGCATGCCGATGCCGCGACAAGTCTAGCACGCGTTATGGCCCCGTGCGCGTCCCTGCCGACGCGTCGTGGTCGCGCGCCGCCTCGCCGACCGTTCCAGAACCATTTTCGCAAGGTCGGTTGCCCCATAAGGAGCTCAACCGAGATCCCACAGAGCACAGGCCGCACGCCCCGCCCAGATTCTTCGAGGGCCTTTTCTCTAGCGGTTCGCGTCTCCATATTTTTGGAGTTCCATTGAAGGCCCCTGTGGCACAGGCCGCGGGCCGCGTCCGGGCCATTTCAACGCGCCCGCCACGCCATTCGCGGCCCCATAGGGAATGCCACCGAATGCTTTGTGGGATAGGCCATGTGCCACCGTCCAGACCGATTCAGTTCATTCAATGTACGGTTCGCGGACCCCCGCGGAGCTGTACCAAACGTGTTGATGTTGCGCAGGACGCATGCCACCGCGCAGACCGTTGCAGCACGCCCATCGAACGGTTCGCCGCCCAATCATACGAAACCCCATCGAAGGCGTTTGTAACGCAGGGCACATGCTGCCGCTCAGACTCTTTTAAAGCGCCAGCCATGCTTTTCGTGGCAAGATGAGGGGTTCCGCCGAAAACGCTGGCGACACAGGCCGCACGTCGCCGCCCGGGCTATTTCAACAGTCTTCGCACGATCCGCGGCCCCGTGAGGAAACTCCACTGAAGGGTCGTCAGGCACAAACCGCGCGCCGCCACCGAGACCATTTAGCACACATCCCTCACGGTTCGTGGCCCCGTAGGGAACTCAGCCGAAGGCGTTTGTGGCACGTGCCGCATTGCGCCGTCCAGACCATTTCAGCACGCGGCCAACGTGTTTTGTTGCCAAATGTGGAGCACAGGCCGCAAGCCGCCGCCCCAAGCCAAGTCAGTGCTGCCTCGCACGATTCGTGGGCCCATTGGGAGTTCGACCGAAAAGGTTTTGTGGCACATGTTGTTTGCCGCCGCCCAGACCATTTAAGCACAGTCTTCACGCGCTTGGTGGCTTCGTGGGGAGCTCCACCGGAGGCCCTCGTGGCAAATTTCGCATGCGGACTCATTGTGCTCGCGCGTGTCGGGCGGTCTTGTTTATTTTCGCGCTGCGTTCAGACAGTGTTGGCTCTTTCGCCAGGTTCACTCTGCAGTGGAGGGGCAGAATGGAAACATCGGAAAGACGGACCAGCATGATGAGGACGTCGATGGCGGCGTCACTATTTGAAGGATGACGCGGGCGAGGGGCGCTTCCGATGTTGGGCATTCAGAGCATTTTTTTAGCATGTGGGCGAGCAGTGCCTCACAGTTACAATATATTTTGGCGAGGCTCGGAACTGCCACAATGCGTGGGCGGACGGCATTGGAGGCAGGATCGACGAGTGGGGCGTAGAAGCAGAAACGAGGGGGGACGAGGGGCAGAGACGGGGGCGGCGGGCAGGGCAGGGGGGGGGCAGAGGGCTTTGCGGGGAAGCCCATGGAAGGCTCCGCGAGGGCTCCCATGGGCCCGCGGTGGGTCCGGACTCCCCCCCCCGCGGTGGGTCCGGACTCCCCTCGGCATCGTTTTTTTACACGTCTGGGAGGACTGCCGAGGGGAGTCCGAACCCACCGCGGCCCCCATGGGCGCTCCGGCGGCGGTAGGTCCGGACTCCCCTCGGCAGTGGTTTTTGACATGTCCGGAGGGGCCTGGCGCGGGCTCGGCATGGCCCCCCGGGGCCCTCGAGTCCGTTGCGACTGGGGATCCACAGCGTTGTCTGGGTCCCAGAGTTGTCGTGTCGTTGGGGGCATGGGCGGGGGAGTCAACCGATACTGCCTCCAGATTATGACACTGGGTGTGCGAAAATGAGTTGATGGAGCCTGAGCGGGGCCTGCAGTGGGCCGTCCTGGAGCTGTCTTGATGTTTTGCATCAGTGCCGTATCAGGATTTGATGCTTTTTCTCTCGGGGGCATCTTGGCGACTCCTTGGTGCCCCATGGGGGATCAATGGAAGGCTTGGGATTGCGTTGCCGCGGACTCGGTTTGTCTTCGAGCCGTCCTTCGCCTGCCCTGGAGGCGACGCGGAGGCATGTGAGCCATCGGAAGAGTAGTGTGATGGAACTCTTGGAGGCCGTCGTTTTGTTCTAATTCTCCTGTTTGTTGGGTCCTCGTTGTGAGCCCGCAGCGCTGAACGCCTCCTCTCCTGTCTTCCCCCCCTCTACCGCCGCCTCCTACTCCAAGCCGCTTCAGCTCCTCTTCATATATATATATATATATATACACATATGTGTGTTTGTTTTGCATGGTGGATCTTCTCTTTGTCCCCGCCAATGCAGTTTCCGCACGCAGTCCGAACGATTCGTGGCCCCATAGGGCCCCGCCGAAGGCCTCCGTAACACAGGCCGCTTTCCGCTGCCCGATGCCAATTCAGCACGCACCCCACACGGTTCGCGGCCCCAGAAGAAGGTGACGCCGAAGATTCTCGTAGCAAAGGATGCGTGCCGCCGCCCAAACCATGTCAGCACACCCTTCGTTCGGTTCGTGGCCGCATAGGATGCTACGCCGAAGTCTTTTGCAGCTCGGGCCGCTTGCCGCCGCCCAGACAACTTAATCACTCCCCTCAAACAGTTCGTGGCCCCATTAGAAGTTCCACCGAGGGTCCTTGTGACACAGGCCGCCTGCCGCCGCCTAGTCCACTGAAGGTCTTGCTTCGCACCGCTTGTGGTCCCGAAGGGAACCTCGCCGAAGGCTTTTGGGGCATAGGCCGCATGCCGCCGCCCAGACCGCTTCAGTTTTGTATTCGCACGATTCGTGGCACCATGGGAAGTTCGGCCGAACATTTTTGTTACTGCGCAGGCTGCGTGCTTCCGACCATGCATGTTCAAAACAATTATCTCGCGTATCGTGGCCTCATTGAGGTTAACGCGGAAGGTTGCTGTTGCACTCGCCGCACGCCGTCGCCGAGAGCATAGCACCACGTTCTCACGCGGCTCGTGGCTCCACAGGATGCAGCGCAAATGGTTTTTGTCGCACAGGCCGCTTGCCACCGCCCACTCCACTCCAGCACCCCCTCACACTGTTCGTAGAAAAACTGGGAGCTCGACCGAAGTTTGTCGTTCCAGCACAGGCCGCACGCCGCTGCCCAGGCCATTTCATGTTTTAGCTTTTGCAGTTCGTGGTCCCATACGGAACCCTGCCGACGGCCCTTGTAGCGCAGGCAACTTTGCGTTGTCTGGGCCATGCCAGCACGCCCTGACACGGTTTGTGGCCCCATAGGGAATGCCACCAAAGGTTTTGAAGCACAGGCCGCTTGCCGCCGCCGAGACCATTTCAGTCCTTTCTTCATTCGGTTCGTGGCATCATAGGGAGCTCCACCGCCGGCCATTGTAGCACAGGCCGCGCGCCGCCACCCGGACCATGTCAGTGCAGTCTTCACACGGTTCGCTCGTGGCGGGGCACCGAAGGTTTTTGCGGCACCCTTCGCATTCGAGCTCGATGTGCTGATTTGTGTTGCATGCGCGCTGCGTTCTGAAAGGGTTTGCTTCTTCGCAAAAATAAGTATGTGAGTCTGTGTGGGGCTCGTCGTGGCGCTTTTGTGCGAATGCGTGGAACTGCGCCCTGAAAGAAGACGAGTCTTGCGTTTGGACGGTTGCTAGTGTCAGTCATGCCAACCTTGCAGCGCGCACTCTTTTGAACCTAGCGTGAGACGTGCCTTCACCGTCAGCCCCGACCTTGGGCGGGACACGCGCGGCGCTGCAGACATTCCGCAAAAACGACTTCACCACAAGTGTGCGGGAAGCGCGCTAATCGCAAATAATTGGGTACGCAATTGCCAGACGTGCAACAAAACGCAACATTTGTTGCATCGCTGCGCGACGAAAGCGTAAAATTGTGCGCCGGCAGAAAGCATTACAGGACAGCAACACCGTGACACATGATGCAGTCAACTCTGACCACCGTCGGGGGACGCGGTGGGTTCGGTCCCGATTGCTTGGTAGTTACTCATAATCGTCGTCGTCGTCGCCGAGGTTCGAAACTCGAACCTCGAAGATCGAGGTTTCCTGGCCCTCGGGGGCCCTGCTCGCCGCCGCGGCTGGAAGCGAATCGAAAAACTGGTGCGTCTGGGCCCCTGGAGGAGGCCGGGGCCCCCTCTTGATCGTCGTAAGTCGTAAGCGTCGTCGTCGTCGCCTCGCCTGAGCCGCGGCGGTGGCGAGATGGGGGTGCGTGCCTCGCCGAAGTCTCGCAGAGACGGGCGTAACCAAGGTATGGTTAGTCTGGTCTGGTCTGTTGCGAAGATTTGGCATGATGGCATGGCTAGTCTGATCTGGTCTGGTTGGTCTGGTCTGGCTGGTCCAGTTGGTCTGGCTTGTCTGGTTCGCTGGTCTGGTCCGTTTACGCCAGCCAGCCCTTCCGGGGTCCATTGGCCGGGGTCCTCGCGGGTTGGAATGGCCCCTCCGGCTGGCTCCGGGCCTGTGGTTGCCGGCGGTCTCTCTGTGGAAGTCGGCGGGGATTTCGGGGGCTTGGCCAGCGCTTGGCGGAAACCGTGTCGTGACGCGCCCCTGGACTCCAGTTCTCGCGCTAGGCATCAGTCCTCATGGGCTCATGGGTCATGGGCCCAGGGGCTCACCACTCTCGTTTTTCGTTATTCGAACCCTCGTGCCGTCGTTAGGTGCCCCCGTATCATCGTTATTCTGCTACCAGACCAGGGTAGGCTACCAGGCATGGGTTCGGGGGCTCACGTGCCGTCGCTCGCCTCCGTCGTCCTCTCCCCTGCTTCGCTCCCTCCACCTGCAAGGAGTTCGGGGTGGAGATGCAGATCCAGCACGCGTTCGCGTGCGACAATGACGAGGCCGTCCAGAAATTCATCATGCTGAATCATTCGCCCGGAGTTATTATTGCTGCAACAGAGTCGCTGGGAGAGAAGGTTACGCCGGTCATCAACAAGGAGGTCGCGTCGTTCGCGATCCCGACTTTGGACATCTTCATAGCGGGCTTCATCTGCAAGGGCCGGAGCAAGAAGAACAATAACCGGGAGGGGCCCAATGCAGTCAGGGAGCGCTTGGGAAGCACTGGGAGCTCCTTCGACGAGATAGGCAGGCACATCGAAGAGCACAAGCCGCGGGCTGTTATTCTGGAAAACGTGGTGGCTCAGGGGGACCACAAGGGCGCAAGGGGGCAGGGGCGGAGGGGGCGGAGGATGGGGGATGGGCGGGATGGGATTGGGGGATATGGATATGGGCCAAGGGATGGGATGAGGATGGGCCGGGGACAGGCGGGGGATGGTCAGCAGGAGGAGGATGAGATTGAGGAGGAGTGGGAGTGGCGCTCATGGCTCATGCATGGCTATCATATGGGCCATATGGGCTCGGGGGCCCCTGGGCCCTCCATGGGCCCGTGGATCGATTAGTAGGGCGACCCTGCCAAATGAAGGGTGCCCTTGTGGCCTCTCTATCTCGCCCCACGCCCTCTGCGTGTCCTCTGGTTGTTCGGGGCCACGTTGCCCTCGGAAGAGTCTCGTGTCCTCTCGGATGTCCTGCCCAATCAACTCCGCCTGCATGGAGGAAGCGCTATGGCGCTATGGGTACTATGGGGGTTTATGGGTCTATGAGTCTACGAGGTACAATGAGATGAGATGAGGGTCTACGGGCAGGGGGGTAGGAGGTTGAGGCGTAAGCCGGGGGCGGGTGCCCGCACTGCCGCATTGCCGCAGGTTGACCTGCTCCAGAGGGATGATGATGGCCAATGCGACGCGGACTTCATCGTGACTTGGTTCGAAGGCATCGGCTACGTCGCCAGGTGGTACAGGATCGAGGCGCGCCACTACGGTTCTTGCCCTCGGCGCGAGCGCTTGTATTGGCTTGCTTGGAAGAACGGCTGTCGTCGCTTCGCCGACGAGGCCGACTCGCTCCTCCAGACAATGGCCAACTCCTGCCGCGACGGCGACACCATGACCCTCGAGCGCTATCTCCTCCCCACGGAGCTCCGCACGTGCTACGCCAAGAGTCCGAGCGAGCCCAAGAAGGAGCACAAGTACAAGGACGACCATTTGTTCTACTACGGGCTCATCAACCAGGATTGGCCGCCCTGCAGGGGCATGTTCGGAGGCTCTCTCGACCACATGGAGCAGCGGCCCTACGAGTGCGTCGTCTTCGCGTGCCTTGCGTTCCCCACGTTCGCCACCACCTCTGATGACACCAAGGTCTTCGAGTATATCGACGTGAACGAGAGTTTGTCCCGTCTAGTAGGTCCGAAGGGTACTAAGAACCCGTGGTCGACCACAGTCCCGACTATATGTACCAAGGGCGTCTATGTTATGAGGTGGAAAGACGTGGACGTCCAGACGGAGCAGGAGGTCGCGCTATATCGCCAGTTGGACGGCATGGAGATGATGCAGATGATTGGCTACGACCGCTCGTTCATGAGGGCGCCTCCACAGATTGGGGGTAGCGAGGCCATCTTCCCCGACCACGGGACGACGACCAAACTGGCGGGGAACGCGTTCTCCGCCTTCGCGTGCGGGCCAGCCTCGGTCGGCCTCATCAGAAATCTGCGCAGGGAGGCCGCGCCTGGCGACAGGTCGGATTGATTCGAAGAGGTGTCTGGTTCGCCGGCGGCGTTGCGGCGCTCATGGGATGGGCATTTGAAGCACTTGATTTCCTCTGCCACTTGGCGGCCCCCGCCGCGCGCCCTGCCCCCTGCCTTGTTCGCAGCGCCTGCCTGAGGGGAACTCCGATGGCCTTGCAGGGGCCGGGCCATGGAGCATGGTCCATGCAGCATGGTCGTTTTGTCACCTTGCAGATTTGTTGCAGCAGACGCGGCGGCATTCTGGATTTGGCCGTGCGGAGCGCTGTTCAACCCCTTTCTTCTCGGCGTGTGTCCTTACAATCGTCGTCGGCCTCTGGCGTCGCGGCCGTCGTCCAGGGCGCCCCCCCTCCGAGCCGAGGTCAATGCGTGAAGTTATTCGCGCTTCGGTGTTCGCGGCCCCCGGTTCACCCTGGGGTCTGGGGGTCTTGGGGGCGGTGCGGGCGGCGCGAGAGCGCGACGTTTTCTGTTATATGTGCCTCGAGTTTCGCGCAGAGGGAAGCGTCGATTTCGCCATGTTACAGGCGTGTGTGTTACGCTATGGCTATATGCTCTATATGCTATGTGCCAACTCCTGACATTACTTGACGCGGCATTCGGCATTATACATTTCAGTAGATGCCGCACAATTGCAGTGCCGGGGGAAGATTGGGCGGCACCTCCGAGTTTAGGCATTGGCAATCGACGCGTTGCGACGACCCAGATGTTCCAGGTAGTAAGTAATGTTGTGGTACCGTAGCGTCCAGCCGTTCTTCGGTCTGCGGATTCTGATGAGCCGTTGTCTCACCTGGCCCTCCTGCGGTCATCGTCCGCTGACGCGCTGGCCGAGCCAGGCTGTTTGACGCGCTGGCCGAGCCAGGCTGTCGACGCGCTGGCCGAGCCAGGCGACGATGCTCGCGGGAGGGCCAGTGGAGACAACGGTAGTTGACTTTCGGGGATCTTCGTCTTCGCCGCGGCCGGGCGCATCTCGGTCTTCAGTCTTCAGGATTGCGAGGAGCAGTTGTATATGGGTTATATGGGCCATCTTGTTGTCATCGCGTCTTGACGCGCTGGCAGACTGGCCCCTTGGCCCCCTTGCACGCCTGGCACGCCTGCACGCCCCATGGTTTTGGGAGGACCGCCGGCTCCTTGGCCTCTGGCACGCCGGCACGCCTGCGGGCTCCAGCATATGGATGGCCTTGGAGGCGCCCCAGAGGTCTCTCGCTCCAGCTCTCGCTCTCACGATCTCCTTCATGGATCATCGCTCGTGGAAAGGATGCCGGGGCGGTCCCGGGAGAGGGCGATCAGGCTTTAAGGGCGAAGAAGGCACGTCCCCACCAATTCCCATACACTGCGCAGGATCGCGTTCGGGCGCTCGTCGCTCGTCGCGCTGGCGCTCTCAGGCCTCCTCTTCCTCCTGCCCCGAGCCTCGCTGCTGCTTCCTCTTCTTGCGTGCCGTGCCTGGCCCTTCCTCGGATAAATCCTCTAATGTGGCCCTTGCCCTGTGCCTGCAGCCTTCCTCCCCGTCTCGCTGTGCCGAGCCCCTGCTTGCTTGCTGCCGCCAGCCGCGCTGATTCCTGCTTCCCGCATCCACGTATCCGCGCTGCGTTTGGCCCAGCCGATTCTGGCCTTTGATTTTGTGCGATTATTCGAGTTGCCTGCGGCACGCACCGCCGCCGTGTGCCGCGGCACCGCGTCAGCGCAGCATCGGATGGCCCCATAGACCAGCCATGGACCCATAGAGGGCGCAAGCGCTGGGGTGTTGTGTGTGCGTTGTGCGCGCGTGTGCGCGTGATGCGCGCGTTGCGTGCGTGCGCGCGCGCGCGCCGAGGCGGGGCTGCGCGCCGAGGATGAGGAATAGGGAGGTGGGGCGGGGGGGAAGGGGGGGGGGCAAGAGGGGGGCAAGAAGGGGAGGGGGGAGGGGTAGGGGTAAGGTGGGTAGGGGGGAGTTCGTCGTCATCGCCCGCCGCCGCCCGAGCGCGGCCCCTCGCGCCCTGACCCAGCGGCGGGGGGGGAGGGGGGTACTCGCGGCTCGCGCTCTGGCAGGGCTTCTGGGATAAGAACAACCGCGCCAGACAGCCTATGGTCACATGGAACTACCGCGCCTCAACGTTGCACGAGGCACGGTGGCGGATTCCCCGAGTGCTGCCCCTGGCTTGTAAGTAAGGGCCCCGCGAGCTTGTCTGCGCCATGGCCCAGCCGGAAGGGAGGCTCGCTGTTCGGCGCAGAGGCAATAAGCGCGCGGCCGCGGCCAAGGCCGCCCAGGCCGCGCCTGGGAGCTCGGACGCCACGCCAGCGTTGGAGGACCCGACCTTGGCCGGCTTGCAGTCCATGGGCATGGTTGTAACAGCGCATGCCGAAGATTCTAAGGAGGCGCAGGCCATCATGAAGCTCGTGCACTGCCTTGTCTGTCCAGACGGCCGCGCGTGCCTTCTCTGCGGCATGAAGGACACCGAGGTCGACCACGTCTACGTGACGCGTACGATCATCTGGGCCTACCCGCCATCGCCAGATGGCAAGAATTCTGGCATGGTGCCCGGTTGACGCTCAAACGATCCTCACTCTTTCGTCGCGTCGTCGTTGTCGCGGTCATTGTCGGCTGACGTGAGACGCACATTGGCTACCTAAAGGAGTTCTTGCCTCATTGTAATACGTTTAATACGTAGCCGTGGGGCCCTTCCCCCGCGTGTCTGGGTCAGGGTCTTCGGTCTGCGCGCCCGTGGTTCATGGGCTCATGGGTCCTGGGTCACGGTGTCTGGGTCAGGGTGTCAGGGTCAGGGCCCTGGTCTGGGTCAGGGTCTGGAGTCTGGGTCTGGGTGTCTGGGGTCAGGGTGTCTGTGTCAGGGTCCTTGTCTGGGTCAGGGTCTGGACGGCAGTTGACCTTCGGACCTCCAGGGGCCTCCGTCGTCGCCCCGGCTGGGCGCAGCTCGGCCTTCAGCAACTCGGTCTTCAGTCCTTTAAATTCAGTCTTCACATTTCGAGGGGCCGTTGTCTCAATTGGCCCTCCTGTGGTCTGTGGCGCGGTCATCGTGTCATCGTCGTCTGTCACGCGCTGGCCGAGCCATGCAGATGACGGCGATGCTTGTGTGATGCTGCGATGCTCACGGGAGGGCCAGTGGAGAGAACGGTAGTTGCCCTTCGGGGACCTCCGTCGTCGCCGCGTTTGGCGCAGCCCAGTCTTCAGATTGCAAGGAGCAGTTGCCTCCACGGGCCCTCTTGTTGTCATCGTGTCATCGTCTCTTGACGCGTTGGCACGCCTGCCCCTCGGCCTCCCGGCGCGCCTGCACGCCCCCGCGCCTGCACCTTCCACGGAAGAGGCGTGATTAGTATTGCAGCCGCTGGGAGGTGTGCTATTACTGCCAGAGGGTGTTCCAAGCGAGGTTCAAGGCAAAGTACAAGAGCGTCCAGAAGCTGCTGGAGCAGTTCGGCATCGATGTGATGGTGCTTCGCATGCACAAGCATTGGAGGCAGGTGTGCGTCTTGGCCACGACCCAGGCTGGCACGCTCGCCGTCAAAATCACCTGGGGCACCGAGGAGGACACGCGCAAGCTGGTCACCAAGCAGGCGCAGGAGACGCGCTTGGAGGACCCAGAGGATGAGATCATCCCAGAGGAGGACTACGAGCAGCTCTACGGCAATTGGAAAACCAATGGCAAGGGCCATAAGCTCGTGGACTGGGGCGGGGTCAGGGGCGTCTTGGTGCCGGGGCGCCGCGTGTGGCGAACTCAGTCTGCCCTGGCCCTCGGCGCGGCCAGGCCAGGTCCCCGCTGCCCTGCTCGTTATCCATCCTCCCCTTTCTTTCCTGCTCCATGCTCCATCCCCGCCTCTATGCCTCCATGTATGTCCCATGTCCCCATGTCCCCATGGCCCATGTCTGTCTCCCCCCATCGTCCATTGTCCCATCGTTCCCCCCCCATTAATAGTCCTCCCCCTGCTCGACAACTCCCTGCCGCAATGCCCCCCCCCCCCGAAGCCCCGGGCCCTTCCACCGCCCACCGTCCGCCGCCCAGGTCCAGGCCCCCCGCCCCCCCAGAGCCCCAGGCCCTCCTGCCCCGAGCCCGCCGATGCCCGATACCACTCCTTGGGGATTGTATGTCTTCTCATCCTGTCATCCCGGACAAGAGGATGAGGGCGCGTTATCCAGCCCCGCACCCTCCTCCGAGTACGCCTTGCCCTCCGCCTGTGGGCTGTAGGTTGTCGTTGCGTCTGCCGCGGCTGGACCTCCGCCGGCGTCCAGACCCTAGATTCCTTATTTATTCAGTGGTTAATAATTCCTTATCCAATTCCCCAATGGCCCCATCCACCTGGCAGCCAGCGCGGAATGATACGGCAGGGGTGACACAGAAGCTCGCCGTTGCGGTTGCGAGTGGGGGGTGGGGCGGGGGGGGTGGGGGGGGTGGCTGAGGCGCGGGCGAAGCGCCACGTGGCCCCTAGACGTGCCCCCCTGACGCGGCCCCCAGAAGCCGACGCCCTAGAGTCAGCCACGCGCGCGCATGGAGCACATTACACATTACAGCGAGTAAGACCGTTCGGCCCCACGATCAAAAGCGGGGTCGAGTGCTTCCAAAGGCCCCCACTGCGGCCCCCATGAGGTCCGTGTACATTTCGGTCCGAGAGGCTCGAGTCCAGCGACCGAGCCATGCTCCAGGAAGATAACGAAGATAGCGAGGGGCCTAGCCTTCTGCCCGAACGCAACCAGTGGCAAGCATACGTTGCTCTTAGCCGCTGGCAGAGGGACGAGGCGTCGTCCAGGGCGGCTTCGCAGGGTTCGCAGGCGGCGGCAGCGAGTCCACCCGAGCCCGAGCCCCGGCCAGTGCCTTCCTGGCCGCGGCTGGAGCCGCTACCAGCGTTTTTGCGGCAGCTCAGAGGTAGCAGAAGCCGCAGCCGAAGCAGGGGCAGGGGCGACGGCGACGGGGGTGACGACGGCAACCCGTACGGCGACTTCGAGGACTTCGACGACGCGACGCTCGAGGAGGTGCAAGACATGCTTGGGGATGACTACGTCATCGAACGCGAGGGCGAGGAGCAGGAGGGGCGGCGCCAGCGGCAACGGCAGGAGGAGGCCGCCGCCGTCGACGGGATCGAATCGATGGGCGCGGCTTCGGGCAACGGGGATCCTATCGACGAGAGGGAGGTCGAGATCGCCGATCAGAGGGAGGTCGCGGATCAGCAGGAGGAGGCCAACGTGGGCGACTTGATTGACGTGGAGGACTCGAACAAGGCCAACGACAACGGGGGCGAGGCGACCGAGCAGGCCCAGCAGGCAGAGGAGGGGCCCGGGCAGGTGGCCGCCACCGCCGCGATCGACGCGATCGACGTGCCAGATTCGATCGAGGCGGCCGCGCCCGGGGCCGCGCCGACCGACCATGCGCGGCAGGGCGGGCAAGGGGGGCAGCAGCCGCCTCAACAGCAGCCCGTCATCGACGTGATCGATTCGTTCGGCGAGCAGACCCAGGGGGAAGAGGAGGGGCCCGGGGAGGGCGCCGCCGCCGCGACGATCGAGGCGGCCACGCCTGAGTTCAGGCCGCCCCCAGGCATCGGCATCGGCGGCATCGGCGACCAGACAGCGGTGGTAGAGCAACGACACCTACGGCCTCCTCCAGACGTCAGGATGGTAGAGCCCGAGCTTGCAAGACACAGAGAGATCTTCAGGCGACAAGTACCGATTGGCGAACGTCGGGAGCGCATGCCTGGCGAGCGCGAGCGCATTCAAGACCTCATTAACGCGGCTCGGGGGCGCGATGAGGGCACGATATCCTACACGCAGGTCGCGCTGCCCTTGGCTGGGGGGATTCACTGGACCACTGTGACCATGCTTCCCCCGTCTCCTGCGCCTGAGCCTGATACTGATCAGCCCGCAGCGCTAGATGTGGACGGCGGCGACGGGGATCGCACGGAAGCGGAGGACGTGGGCACCACGCAGACCGTGCCCGACACAGAAGAGGAGGGGGGCGAGGGCGCGGTCGACGACTGGGCGAACGCGGACGAGATGGACGGGGGTGCCTGGCGCTCTCTTGTTCCGCCCTAGCGGCTAGGCCCTAGTCAGAGAGACGTGGCGAGACATTGGCCCTGGCCCACTCAGCTCTCCCCCTCGCGCTCGTCGTCGGACCTCCTCCTGAGGTGGAGATGAGAGGAGGAGGTGGAGGAGGAGGAGGGGAGGGGGAATGAGTAGTCTGAGTTCCTCCGCGATCTGGGCCCTATGCCCTATGCGCCCCAGGCGCTTGCGAGCCTGCGGGCCCATCAGCGGAAGTGGAACCGCCACAGTGGCGTTGCCCGCTGCGGGCACAGACGCACTGTCTGCCACACCTGCGAATTCATGGCCTTCAGGGTCTACCTCTGAGCATCACTAAGGATGCTGTGCTTGTTGGGCGCCGGTCGGGCGCTGCCCTTGAGCCCTTCGAGCTCACCACTGCCCCAGCTTGCCGCGCCGCCTCGCGCCGATCGGCACAGGGCGGGTCCTGATTCAGAACAGCGTCAGGGCGGGTCCTGCAGGGTCTACCTCTGAGCATCACTAAGGATGCTGTGCTTGTTGGGCGCCGGTCGGGCGCTGCTCTTGAGCCCTTCGAGCTCACCACTGCTCCAGCTTGCCGCGCCGCCTCGCGCCGATCCGCACAGGGCGGGTCCTGATTCAGAACAGCGTCAGGGTGAGGTCAACATTGTGACCTCACCTTGCGTCGAGTTTCGTGCGCGTCAGAGGTGAGAGCCTCGCGCGCATCGCCGCTGGCCGCGACGAATGGCGACGCAAACGCCCATCGCCCACGCCGTCATTGTGGTTTCAGGCTTTAGGGTTTAGGGTTTAGGGTCTTGTGCGCCCCGCTGGGCGAGCACCTTCAGGGTCTACCTGGGTGTCCTCCAACCTTCCTCCTTCCCTTGCTCGTGCAGCTCCTCCCTGTCTCTCCCCTCCCCTTGTGCTGCTGCTGCGCCAGCACAGTTCAAGTGTCGCTCAGCAGCTGCAGAGCTGGGAGCCACGAAGCGACGACGTGCCCTCGCGCCTTTTGCGGAAAGGGCTCCTGCCGATTTTGCAGGAGGAGGAAAAGGAGGAGGTGCGCGAGGCTCGCTGCCCCTCTCCGCCTCTCCTCGTCGTCGTCGTCGTCGTCGTCGTCGTCGTCGTCGTCGTCGTCGTCGTCGGCGTCGGCGTCGTCGTCGTCGTCGTCGTCGTCGTCGTCGTCGTCGTCCCTCTTATATAGCCACCGTAGCAGTTGCGCCTTGTCGAGGTGTTCGGTACTCGGTACTCGGTGCGATTCGCCGGTGGACGGCGTCCGTGCATCCTTGCGTCCGTTGCATCAACAACTGGCCCTCCTGTGGCCATCGCCTGCGTCTGTCGACGCGCTGGCCGAGGCAGGCCGCTGGCGGCGATGCTCACGGGAGGCCCAGTGGAGAGAACGAGACAACGGGATTAGGTGGCATCGGCATCGGGCATCGGCATCGGTATCTCCCCTCAGATGGGGTCGCAGTCTGCCATGGAACCAAGAATCACAATCGGGCCTTCGATCGGGGCGTCGCGCTGAGTCGGGCTTCACTCTCGGGCCAGAGCTGCCCCAGGGCTCCAGGGGGCCCCGGGGGGCGGAGCAGAGGACGAGGGGGAGGAGGAGGAGGGGGAGGGGGAGGAGAAGGGGAGAAGGAGGGATGGGGGGAGGGGGAGAAGGGGGGAAAGGGGGGAAGGGGAGAAGGAGGAGGCAGCCGCGAGCGTTGCCGAGGTGGAAGGTGAAGCGCGCCCGCGTCATGACTGCGGAGATCCAGCAAGAGCATGCCACGGGGAACTTCCAGTTGGCGCCCAACGAGCTCGAGTCGATGATGTCCCAGCTCTCCGACATCTTCCTCCCGGAGAGGGCGACGGGGGAGGCCGTCGACTTCACGTTGGACTCGATCATGGCGGACGTCGGAAGCAGTGACAGTGCTGGGGAGAGCAGGCTGTCAGGGGGCGCAACCGATGAGGGGGCCGCGCATCGACGTAGCCAGTCCATCGGGCCACCGGGCCACTCGACTCCCGCATCCGCATCCCCCATGCCCCATGCCCCGTGCACCGTGCAACTCGCGCCCATGCATGCCTGCGGACACAACGCGGGCACATCATCGGGAAATGAGGCGCGCGGGCTGGCCCGGGCCAGGGGCAATCATGGGATATAGTGCATGGGGCACGGGGTATGGGAGTCGAGTGAATGGGGGCCCAGTGGCCCGCTGGCCTGGCTGATCGATTCTCGGGCCTTTTCATCCGTTGCGTTCGGCCAGGCCGGCGCTGGGCCAGCAGCAGACCTCGCTTCCGGTGGCGTTCACTTCCGGCTTCTCGTTCCCAGGGCTGCGCTTCTCCATGCCGCAGTCTGCTCCGACCCAAGCGAATGATGGGGGCGCGCCCAGCGCCGCAGCGGCAAGAGCGGGGAAGGCGGCCATCAAAGACGCCCCGGTTACGCCCACGACGAACAAGAAGAAGACGGTCAAGACTCTTGCAGACGGCGGACAGGCCACCACGCCTTCGCCATCTGATTCTGGCAAGGCGCCGAAGCGGTCAGCTGGGCGGCCAACCGAACCTGCGCTCCCGGAGGTCGTCAAAATGCTGGCTGATTTCAAGGGTGCTTCGTCGACCCACCCTCGGTTCTTCGGACAGGAGCGCTATACTCAGACCAAGGCGGTCGGGCGCCTGGTCGACAGAGTCAAGGGCGAGATGGACAAGGTCGAGGACCCCCTAGAAGAGGACAAGTTCAAGAAGGCGAAGAAGAGCTTGGAGATCTTGTTGACCCTCATGAAGGGGTACACTCAGAGCAAGGGCGCTGGATTTCTGAAGGCTTATCAGGAGGCTGAGTCTTGGGCCGCCATGGAGCCTGCAGTCGACCTTGACTTCGTTCCGAGGTGGATGTCTTCGGAGAAGTCCCGCTCGCAGTTGGCGGCGGCAAAGCCTAAGGATTTCTGGTGGGAGCTCTCTAAGGACAACATGCTTCGCATTGGCTTCGAGGAGAAGGACCTGGACGCAGAGTGGGTCGGCATCATCTCCGACAAGGTCGTCGATATCTGCCGGTCTGACTCGCTGGAGAACTTGCCTCGTGCCCTGGGTGAACCGCCGTGCCAATGGACTATGCCCCTATGTCTTACCTTGCCACGCCGCTGCCCAATGCCCTATGCCTTATGTCTTCCGCGCATGTTCTATGCTATGCCCAAGGTCCTTCTTCCCCTTCGGACCCCTCCCCCTGCCCCCTCCCCTGGACCTGGAGGCCTCCGGGAGCAAGATGCCGCGGCATCTCGCTGGGGGGTGATTTCTGGGATCTCTTGGGAGCCCTCTGGGGGCCTCTCGGGGGCTTCCTGGGGGCAACTTGGGGCTGCCTGGACGCCTCGTCGGGGCTCATCGGGAGTACCTTGGGGGGATTCCTGGAGGGCTCTCGGGGGCTTCCTGGAAGCCTCTGGGAGCAAGATGCCGCGGCATCTCGCTGGAAGGCGATTTTTGAAATCTCTTGGGGGCCCTCTGGGGGCCATTTGGGGGGTTCTTGGGAGCCACTTGGGGCTCCTGGACGCTTCGTTGGGGCTTCTTGGGAGCACCCTGGAGCTCTCTGGGGGGGCTCTTGGGGGCTTCCTCCTGGTGGTCTCCGGGAGCAAGATGCCGCGGCATCTCGCTGGGGGGCGATTTCTGGGATCTCTTGGGAGCCATCTGGGGGGCTCTGGGGGGTTTCTTGGGAGTAAGTTGGGACTGCCTGGACGCCTCGTTGGGGCTTCTTGGGAGCGCCCTGGAGCTCTCCGGGGGGCTCTCGGGGGCTTCCTGGAGGTCTCAGGGAGCAAGATGCCGCGGCATCTCGCTTGGGGGCGATTTCTGGGATCTCTCGGGAGCCCTCTGGAAGCCTCTTGGGCGGTCCCGCGCAGAACTGAGTGGAAGGAATTTGGGCTGGAGCGTGTTTGTGGCAGCCCGACTTCTGAGCAGCGGCCCGCCTGGGACCGCAAGGGATGTGCGCGGCATCGGCCGCCTGGTGAATGATCCCGGCAATGATCCCCTAACCCGAGTCTTGAACCAACAACGGCTGCGAATGGGGATGAACTGAACCGAAGTTCGCGCGGGATGCATCCATGGTCCCATAGCGTTGCAATATGCGCGCTCTCGTCCCAAGACCTCCCTCATAAGTCCGTGCGCCCGCTGACCTGTCACGGGCGGGGGCGCGCCCTCGAGCGAGGTGGAGTGTTCTTGGAGCGTATTGGAGCATCTTCGGAGCCATCATGCGGCATTTTAGGCTAGCTTGAGCCATCTTGAAGCTCATCTTGGGCTCTCCGAGGCGCTCTTAGAGCCATCCTGGGCCATCTTGGACGCTCTGACCGCTCGATGAGGTTGGAAGAGGGAACGCCCTAGACCACCTACGCCCAGAGGGCTGGTGGGATTTCGATGGGTTGGCATTGCGGTTTATCCACGACCCATGCGTTCAGTACCCGTGTTGGCGCAGGACGTTAAACGAAGCAGGTCCCAGCGCGAGCGCGCGCGCCCGACCGGGGCAGCGGATGGCGAGGTCATGTGCTCATCGGGACCAGACGCGCCAGGGCTCCAACAACTTTATCGACCAAATCAAATGCAGGGGCTGCGGCGAACTCCTGTACAAGTACAACTTCGCGAAGGTCAACGACCAGATGCTGCTGCAGTGCGTGCGCTCGAGGCAGTACTTCGACCGCCTGGAGACCACGGGCTCAGCTCAGCCTGGCCAGGCACACCCGACGGGGCCCTCCAGCGCCACGGAGGACGAGGTCTCGGCAACGACGCGGCCGTCGCCGCCGCCTCCGCCGGGCGCTCCAGGGGCCATGGTGATTCCTCCGCGGCCGACGAGCCTCTCGGCTGAGGTGATCAGGAAGCTAACGGACGCGGAGGTGGAGCAGATCATCGAGAACGAGAGGATGAAGATAAGGGAGGAGGAGCGCTCGCGCCTCATCAAGGCGATCCGCATGCCGACGAGCTCGGCCAGCAGCACGACGGAGGCGATCCGCATGCCGAACGAGGCGATCCGCATGCCGACGAGCTCGGTCAGCCAGCAGGAGCCGGACACCGTGATCACCATGGTGGTCGACGAGAGGAGCTTCGTGCAGCAGCCGCCCCCGGAGCCGGACGGAGGCTTTCATCATCTGGCGTGAAGTCCTACGCGCTCGGCGGCGGGGTGGGCGTCCAGGCAGGGGTGAATTGAATCCAGAGCCGCGAAGCCACTGCTGCATCAGCCTCATTGACTCATCGGTTTAGTTTTTAGTCTAAGTTGTAGTAGTAGCAGCGGGCTGGTGCTCTCTTTGAAAGGCATCTCGGATAAGGCGGCTCACAGGAGAAGCCGTGGAGCATCTATGGTCTATGTCTATGTACTGGATCGCAAGTCTCCAGTTCTGGGAGTTGTTGAAGAAATACGGCTTGGTGGTCGACGCCAGGAGATGATAATGAGTAGGAGGATGAGCGGAGTAGGTGCCCCATGTCCAGGGGAGCTCATAAGTCATAATATGATGAATCATGAGAGAGCTCCACTTTACAACGTAGTCACCCTCCACCCGTGTAAGCGCCATATTTATTTTGCGATTGGTAGGTGAGGACGTCTGAAGCGAAAGCCCGTTTTCGGTGCTGGAACCGCCCGCCATCCGCGTGCCCGATGCACGAGCCCTTACGGCACGGACATTATGTAACATAAGCATGCTTAGCCGGGAGCCCCGTTTTGAACTACAATCACCCCCGCGCTTGGAAGACGTAGGGTTGAAGAGGGAGGAGGGTTGTTCAGGACAAGGGCGGAGGGCCATGGCCGGAGGATTGTGCTGGAATGTTGTTTATATCAGGGCTGCTCTGCAGGCTATAGGCCATGCGCTCCAACGGCTTGCCATCGCGAGGGCGCCTCTCGCAAGCCAAGAGGGCCTGAACTGCGGGGCCATGATTTCCCACCTTGAGAAAGCCACATCGCCAGGAATCCTATTGGGTCGGCCCGGTGCGCCATTCTCTCAAGCTACACTTCACGTGCCCATCACCAACGCAGGTTGCAGCAAAGCGATCACCTTTGCGATACCAAGCATTGTGTTGCGTTGTCGATATTCGATATGCTGTCACGTTCCCAGGGTGCGCGCCTCGGTCATTAAACCTGGTAGTCGATGTCGAGTCGATGTCTCGCCCGCAGAAGTCACCAGAATCTTGGGTGCCCATGCGACCCATTTAACTCCCGTGCCCGAGTGGGGATCAGCCCTCCAATGCCCGATGCCCGATGTGACGTCGGACATATCGATTTCCGATGCTCCGATGCTTGGATTGTTTGATCCTTGCCCCCCCCCAGGTACTCTCGGGATGGAGTTCTGCGATCCGCAGTTGGTCTCGTACGCGAGTGAGCTGCCCGAGTTCATCCGGAAGTCCGTCGAGAACGTTCGCTTGCTGATGGGCGCGCCGACCCTTCTTGATGGGCGGGACGTGACGGCGACGAGGTTGCAGGAAGCACTCGACGCTGCGAGTTCCGAGGCTGGCAGTGACAAGGACAAGGCCAAGATCGTTGTCGTTGTAGATGGCTCACTTTAAACGGAGAAGGTTAAAGGCGAGGTATAAATCGAGCATGTACCGCTGCCGTGCCTGGCTCAAGCCGGGCCCGGCCTAATATGTGACTGCGCCTCACCGAGGCGCACTACTTGCATCAGAGATCGGAAAATCCCTTTTCCATTGACGATGCCCATCCTACTCTTTACTCCAGATCCCATGCTTCGTCTCGCTCTCTTGCTCATGCGATATGAGCCAAAGCCTGGGATATGGGAGCGCCTAAGGCGGACTACATACCTAAGCTTACCAGCTTGTTTTCGACTTGGTAGCGGAGCTGGCTACACTCTCGTGTGGCTGGCTCTCGCTCTGATTCCTGTAATCCACGGCACAACTTGGTGGACTACTACTACGGTGGAATACCATGTTGCGCCGGCTCTGCGAGGAGCGGAGCCAGTCCGCGATCGAGCTAGCGGGGCAACCCGCGAACTCGAGACGCTTTCTCCTACTTCACTGCGCTACTTCACTCCCGACTTCCACCAGATGCCAATCGGCAACTCGATCGAGAACGTGGTCACCCTGCGGGGCTACCCGCAGCGGGGCCACCTGCATCCCGTGCCGGTCAGGCGCCTCACGGCTACCACGCCAGAGCCTGACAAACCACAGCCTAAACCAATCACCGAAGCCGAAATGCATATGCATTGGATCAAGATAACTATCTTCGGCATTCTATGGGTGATAATGGGATGTGCTGTGGGATACATGCGGCAGGGGATGGACGACACGCGTACTACTGGCCCTTCATGGGACCCTGCCGGTACTACGCCTTTCCGCGAATACGTTCGCGAAGTACATGCATGGTTAAACGTAACGAGCGGCAATATGACACCACCACAACAAGCTGCAGCACTACAACGAGGCCTTCAAGGTCTGGCTCGTCGTATCGCCATGCAGGTCCCCTCCCAGATCATCAATTATGGTGTAACTGTCAATGGACAGCCAACGGATGCAGTAACCTACATACTGTACTTACTGAGCACCAAATTTGAAAATCTGGAAGATGAGCGCCAGCTCAACTCTGGCACGGCCCTTATCGACTTCCGCGTCGAAAGGGGCGAGCGAATCGACTCAGTATTAGCTCGATTCGAGATGGCCCGTGACGAGGCTAACTCTGTTGGCTTTGTCATCCCCAACTTTCAGATCCTAACGCTGATTCTCTTCAGAGCGTTAGGCGTTGGCGCGTCACGAGCCCAACACCTGCTTGAGCCCTTCAATCATCAGATGCCCCGAACACAAGCAGACTATGACAGGCTGTTGACCAGGATGAGGAACTACGGACATGTTGCCGAGCGCTCTCCTGGTAACATAGCGGGTATCTTCACAGGGCACCACTCACATGCAGGTGTCTACGCCACGACTGCGGGGTCACCCGCTGGTCCTGGCGAGCCAAATCCCTGGGCTGACCCAGCCGATATGCCCAACGAGGCCACTGCCCTTCTAGGGCAGACCGGCCAGGCATCGGCAGAGGCAGCTGAGGCGAACGCCTGGTCGAACTACTCGCCAGGCGCCGCCTACACTGCAAGCCCGCCCTCGGGCACAACCCTCTGGGGCCAAGCGGAGTCATCCGCTCAATGGTCTCAGCCACCCTCACCGTTTGAATCTGGCACTGACACAGATACCTCATCTGACGATGAGCACAATGGAATAGTCTCTGCTGGTAATGACTATCCAGCGGATGACACTCACCTTTCTGAACAGCAAAGGGCGGAAGCCGCCTTTATGGCTTATCGCAAATCAAAACGCCGTTGGAGGCGCTTTATGAAGAAACCAGTCAGAAAGGTGAGACGTGCAGTACGCCGACATTTCAAACAATTTGGAAAGGGTCGTGGTAAAGGGGGTCGCAGACGCCGTATGCATGGTAGGGGTATTACTGCTTTCCTCACGTCCTTAACTGATATGGCTTTTGAAGAAGTTCTTATCGGAGGCAAAGGTCGGGGTCACAGGCGGACCTCCGGTAAGGGAAAGGGGCGGAGGGGCAACCCTAGGGACGCTTCTGGTAATACTATGAAGTGTCATACATGCGGTAGCACAGAGCATTTGCGCGATCAATGCCCGAAGGGGAAAGGAAAGGGATCCGTACACTTGGCTCAAAATTCTTTTATGGATGACATAGATTACATTGACTACGAGTTTTACGTCAATCCAGAAGCGGCTCCCGCTGCGGGCTCCTCCACGTATTACGTGATGGCCCGCTATGCTGAAGCAACTGTGGCCCTGGAAGACTACGCAGTGACCCTCTTCGACGAGTTCCACGGCTGGGACGAGGTCGATGAGATTGCGTACAATGCTTGGTTCGGTCTTCCAGCGGGGCCACCCGCCGGTGACGAGGTCTCCGAAGCCGAGACCGTCCCGGCAACAGAGGAAGAACTCACAGCCGTGCTGGCCCCACAAGTGATTGGCATGCCGTTGCTGCCAAATCCGTCGTGGGCTGGTTCGGAGATGGGAGACGCCGATGACGAAATGCGGGGCCATCCCGCGTATTCCGATTCCGAAGAATCCGAAGAAGATTATAACGACATGCTCCAAGGACAGGTTTCAGAAGCAATTCGACTCTTGAGTGCGCCAGCACAGCAGCAGATGACGATGAACGAACTGCTGTCACACCCAGGAGTTGCCCGTCTACGTCCATACTTGGATTCGAACATGTCAGCATCACAGATGCTTACAGCACTCCAAGCTCTAGCGGGGTCACCCGCTGAAGAGATGCCAGACACAACAGCGGGGCCACCCGCTTGGTCTATGGACGTATTCATGCAAGGTTGTGATCAAATGAACATTAACGACCTCTCGATGGAGCAGTTAAATGACATCGGATACTTCAGAAGCCCTTATCAAAACGTGTTCATGGTCCAGGACAGCTCAGAGGACTCGGAGGACATGCGTTACGCCAAGAGGGACAGGCGACCGTCGCCTCCCCGAGACTCAGAGCATGACGATCAAAGGCCAATGACACGTGGTAGTGCGTCAGCGGGGCCAGCCCGCGGAAGGAGCCGCTCAGCTCCTAGACGCCCTACGCATGATGAAGCGGGCTATCCATACAGTACTGAGCACTCCGTTGGAGTATCTGCTCAGCAGGTGCCGGATTGGTACGTCAGATGGTACCCCGGTTACTCTATGGATACTCTTCGGCATTGGTATTCTAAGGAATACTGCACCAAAAGGGACGAAACTGGCGCGATAATCCGTACCAAGGGTGGCAAGACCAAGACGCCAGAGGCCTGGGACAAAAGGGCGAAGAAGCAGGAGATCATCACTGACCGCAAAACATACAGAAAACAAGTATGTCAGTGTGAGCCCTTCAAAGGCCACATGCGCAGGTGTCCGATGGACCGCCCCTCCAGGAGCCCTCACCATGGAGAGACCCCGTGGAATTGGTCTCATGGAGACGACGCGGGTAACGTCCATGATCCGAACAAAGAGGTTCCTGGAGGAGGAAAGCGCATCACAGAGGCCGATCGCGTCCCTATGACCGAAGAGGTGGCCAACACCGTCAGGGAAAATTGGGCAAAGCTTCCCAATGACCACCGCCTCAAGGAATGGAACCGCCGATTCCATAAGGAAGCGGGGTCACCCGCAGAATCCAGTAAGGAAG